GCAGCCTCAGCGCAGGGCTGCGCTCCGCCACGTGCAGGCTTCTCCCGGCGCCTTAGACCAGCCTCCGCGCTCCTCGCGGCACTGATCCTCAGCCCGGCGTGCGGCCCCGAGCCTCCCTGGAGATCCTCTCCAGAGTGCCCCCCCAGGTGAACCCAGCGCTTTCAAGTAGGAATCCAGGGGGTCGAAAGCTTTCTGAGCTGGTGCCGCCTTTTGCAGCAGAAACGCTGGTCTTACTGCTTTTCCACAGTCAAAAAAGGGGTGAAAACCAAGAACCGGCACTTTCTGAAGGGTGCCTCGAGTGTAACAAAGGTTGAGAATCATTGTGTTAGTGACATCCTGGGTCTGTCTCTGCAGTTGAATCAGACATGCTGTTGTGGCCTGGTTGTCTGGGGTTGGAGCTGTGCAAAGTGGTCCACAGCACTGGTTCTCAACACTTCTTGGGCTGGAGGCACCCCTCTTAAGCCTCCAGGCAGCCTTTGGAAAATACTCTCTCAGTTTTCACTCTGCTTTTGGGTCCAGAAAGGTAACTGAGCAAGTTTTCTGTTGCAGAGGACTGGGAAGACCACAATAGGTCAGACTGTTTTAAATGCCATGGCTTTGTATTAGAAATCTCTGGGTTTATCTTGTGAATCCTGCCAGCCCGCCTAACAGCACTAACGTTGCATGGCGCCCCCACAGCACCCTTGAGAGGCTCTCAAGGCACCCCAGGGTGCCACAGCAGCTTGGTTGAATTTCACTGACGTGGAGGATCCCACAAACATAGTATGTATGTTCCCACAACCATAGTGTCGGTGCTGGGAGTGAGAGGTCCGGGAATGGTGTGGGCTGTTGCGAAGTAGAAATAAGCCCCTCTGCCTGTGGGATGGGCTTGTTTCTATCTTTCAGGCTGCTTGGCTTTAGTGGTATGGGAGGGGGAGTTTGGGTTAAGAGCCCAAATTACTATACCAAAGACACTATGCCTACTACCAACTTTTTCCTCTATAAAGCTATCTCTGCCTCTACCAGAAATTGGATGTGGGAGAGAGCATTGTAAGGAATCAAATGGGTGGGGTTGTATTGGAATTAGAGAAGTGGGAAAGGTCAAGGAGGGTGGAAGTGTGGAGTATTTGCTGATGACTGATAGATTGCTAAAGAAAATGGTCTCCCTCTCTCTAGGGGCAGCCTTCTTTAGGACCAGGGTGGGAACAAATGGTGTGCTTCCTCATGAGCGATGGGAGAGAGTGCTTTGGGGTTTTTTTTAATGCAAATCACCAGTTCTTGGCTTGCCCACTTGCTTAAGAAGGTTGCCTGGGCTGCTGCAAAGGCAAAGCCCGTAGTGGAGATGCAGATTATACTGGCAAGAGTTTCCCTTTTACCCTCCTAACCGACATTCATAAATTGGCAAAACTTGTGAAGTGTAGTCCAAGCCTATGGAAGAAAGGGGGAGAGGCCAACGTTCTTGTAGGGTTATTAAAATTATATTGTCTTTTTATGGCTCATACAGGGGTGTGCAGTACCCAGGCTCAACAAATGGCACAGCCATCTTTTAAAGCTCTGCTTTCTTGTTAAATTTTAAGTAGGTTCCTTCTGTGTTTTACCTTGGTGAGACTGGTCTGTGAAATGCTAGTAACCACAGGAGTATATTCAGTTTGGCACCAGCCACATCAGTCACTCTTGTTGCAAGAACTTCTGGGTTCTTTAACATAAAAATGGATGTGGACTTAAATCTCCGTATGTAGCAAAACCTTGTCAAAATTAACTGAAAATACTTAAGATTACTAGAGAAATTATATATTTAAAACCCAGCAGAAGATGACAGATGTTACATACCAGTAACGTACCTAATAAAATAACAACTGTTAGAGAAACAGTGATTGGTTTTGGTGTTCTTTATTGTGCTTTTTCATGCTTGCTCAAACTTAGCTGTATTTAACCTCAGAAATTTTTTTAATGTTTTTTTTTTTTTTTCCTAGATGCCCATCATAATCCAAAATTTCAAACAGGGCATTAAATAAATAGATCTTAAAGAGTTTTGAGTGGGGAAATGTGATTTTTATTTTGGTGGCTTTTTTTTCACATGTGTAAATACTTACTCAGTTAAGAAATAATTGCATAGGAAAGTCCCTGTGTGTCATTGTAGATATAGAATAGGTTGTAGTGTATTGCATAGTAACTGAAAGCATATCCATCGTGTGGTCTCAGAGGTAAATTTGATGAGGCTTTGGCCTCGCAGGTAAATTTTTAAAAATCTATTATCACTCTAGGTAATTTTATATACTAAAGGTATTGTCATTTTCCTTTTGCAGCACCAAAGAGCTCTTTCAGGAAAGAACTTCAGAGCATTTCGAAATATGAAATTGATCCCCATGGAAACCTCATCTTCCTCTGATGACAGTTGTGACAGTTTTGGTTCTGATAATTTTGCAAACACTGTAAGTACAGTACAAGAATAAACAAAAATTGAATGTGAAATGCTGAAAATGTCCCATATGCTTTGTGCATGATTAAAACTGCTTTTTTTGCTTACATTTTTGTATCATAGTTATTATAAACCTACAGTATACACTGTAATTTCATTTCACTCTTTGCTTGTGCTTCTAGGTAGTAATTGTTGAAGATTAGCTATTTATTCTATCCTTTGAAATGTCGCCTAACCTAACATGCCTGATGATTTGCCATAACAATTCTGAAACCATTTGTAAATCCCCAAACTATTTTTTCTTTGTTACAAAAGCTATTCTCTTGTAGTGCACTTGTAAATGTGATTTGCTGTCTGCTTGGAGAAAATTGGCTCTTTTAAAAAATGGTGTATTTTTTATTATTTTTATTCTTGCAGAAACCCAAGTTTAGGTCAGATATCAAGAAAGAACTGGCTAAAATTTTTTATGAGGACTCTGATGAGGAATCATTCTGTGGTTTTTCAGAAAACGAGATTCAAGATGTGTTGGTGAGAGCCTTGATTTAACTTGCTAGATTTAAAGTTGAAACTTTACAGCATCTAAGACAATTTATCCAAACATTTTAATATCAAAACCTTTAGTCATTTATATATTCATAGGTATTTAATGGGGGGAGCAACTAAATCTATCTTAAATACAAGTTTCAAATATTACTATAAAGAAACATAATTGCAGTGTTGTTAAACTTCAGTGTTGAAATAGGATGCTGTTAAACAGCTTTTGTATTTTATTTTTTAACGATTAAAAGAAGAAAAAGAGAGAGTATGCATGTAATGTTCATTCATAAGACTGTTTTCCAGATTTGAAATACAGTGCAGCTTGACACTTTACTTTTATAATTGTTTATGGATTTTTGTTTGTTTTTGTTTTTAATGCCTGTTCTGTAATTGAGCACTTTATCTTTCATTTATAATTTCTTTATCAGAAAGTATGGATGGTATTTGGAATCCAAGCTTAAAATAAGCTGATAGAGAACCTTGTCTGCATAATGACATTTAATCATACCTGCACTTTGTACTGTTAACAGGAAATAGCACAGGAAATTCTACATTCTTTGTAGGCAATATAGAAATAGCAAGAGCTGGTTAATCCCCCTTTTTGCTTTTACTTGACTACAAACTGCAAGAGCAAGCTTATTTTTGCAAAATACTTCCAAAAACGTGTTTGAACACATCATAGAGCATTATATCCTTATTGCCCATAATAGTTTGGGTTACTGAAGGAATTTATTTTTAAAATGCCTCAAGAACTAGCCTAAGAAAAAGAGTAGGTGCTTTTCTTATGGAAAGAGAGCATATATCCAAAATAACATAACAGTACACAGTGCCAAAAAAAGAGGAAGAAGCACGTGAAAATGGGTGAGCAAGAAGTATATACCTTGCTTAATACAAAATCCTGGCAACAGGGACTGTCACTTTGGAGATCTGACAGGAAGACAAAGTACTATACTGTCACACAGCAGGATGCCTGTTGGATGGATTAGACTGGTGTAGCGTCAACTTTATTTTGGCTAAAATAGAATTGAAAAGAAGGTCGCAACGTGATTAAATAAATAAAATCATTTTCATTGACATCAAAAGAAAGTTTTACAGTAATAAGCATAGGAACACTGAGCTGAAAAAATATGTATTAAATGTATCATATTAGATTTGGTTTAATAATGATGTTAATGTTTAGACCTGGGAGAAAGTTCCTACTTGCAATGAATCCTTTGAGGTACGCACCTCTTGCTGCCCCAGCAGAGCCTGCTGAGTTGCCGGCCCCCACAGGCAACATGGTCCCAACTGCAGCTACCGCCCCTGCTCTCTCCAAGACAAAACGTAAGGTGTTTGTTGTGGGAGACTCCCTCCTGAGGGGGACTGAGGGGCCAATCTGCCACCCCGACCCCTTAGCCCGGCAAGTCTGCTGCTTCCTGGGGGCCCGCATCCGGGACATTACGGAGAGGATCCCAAAGCTCCTTAAACCCACAGACCACTATCCCATGCTCCTTATTCATGTGGGCACCAATGACACTGCTCGGAGCACTCCCAGCCAGGTCACGAGGCGCTACAGGGATTTGGGAGCGGGGCTTAAGGGTCTGGGGGCACAGGTAGTGTTCTCGTCGATCCTCCCAGTCTCAGGCTATGGGCTGAGAAGGGACAGGAGGATCTATGTGGTCAACCAAAGACTGCAGCGCTGGTGTCGTCAGGAAGGCTTTGGCTTTCATGACCACAGCCCGCTCTTTGGCGAGAGAGGCAGCGAGCTGCTGGGAAGAGATGGCCTCCACCTCTCTCCCCTAGGGAGGAGGCTCTTCTCAGCCAGACTGGCTGACCTGCTCCACCAGGCTTTAAACTAAGCCCGTTGGGGGACGGGGGGACTACCACCACTGCTGGCCCGCTGAGCAA